TTTGTTTTAATACTTAGGCTGTTTGCAGAAATTTCTTAGCACCGGCTATTACCTTACCCCTTGGAGTATAGATAAGGCAGCTTACTTTCTTTTTGGGTGACTAAACTCGTAGCTTGACTCTACAGCTACAGATTGGTTTTATTGTAACCTTATCTGTTTGCTTCTCTCAGGCAGGTGTTGGATAAGGCAACATTGACTGACAGAGATAACTGGAGTTTTTTTCCCGGAGTCCTGTTACCTTAGGGTTAGAAGAAACCTTTGTCATCTCCTACTTTTGTATGAAGGACAAGAATCCCATTAGATGTTGGTTGACTGACGGTGCTATTTTTTTGAGAATGAAAGAGGTGAAGAAAAGTCTAAAATGAGTGGGTCCTTGGTGCAACAGGAATAAAGTGTCCTGGGGAAAACAGCTGTATGTTCATCCTAGTTATACAACAGTCTTGCTAGATAGTCATCTAAAATCTGCCTGAAAAAGATTTGTTGCCCCACAGAAAAGCAAGTACTGTAAAAATTAAAAGGTACTAACTAAAAAATCTAAAAAATTTTTAAATTGAGCTAAAGTTTGTCTCCTTGCACTTACTAACTCTTCTTTCCAGCTTTTGCCCTCTGGTACTAAATGTAGTCAGTATGTGGTAGTATACAAATTGTATTAGCTTTTTATAGAAATTTAAAAAAACACACACAAAAAGAGAACCCCCAGCCCCCCTGCCCTGCACTCTTATAGTTCTTCCCTGTAATTCAGTTTCTGTGGCCAAATTGAAACAGACCAGAGAAAAGAAATGAGAGGAAAAAAAAAGACCAGGCTGCTAACTAACCCACCAGGCCTTGGGGTACTGGGTAGAGTTCACTAAACAACATTTTATAGGACATCTATAATGGTTACCTTAGTATGTTTAGGAGATGTTCACTGAGATCTCTAGCTTCTCAAAAGCTGGTTTTCCAGTTATTACCTTAATGCTTTATCACCTTAAGATAGAATGAAGGAATATGTATAGAAGACATGCCAATTCCAATTAAAGAAACAGTAGTTTATACACAGGAAGGCTAGACCTCCAGCTAGCTAATCATAATGCTTAACAGTTTTCTCATCATTAAAAATACTTAATGTACATGTATAATAACTAGCTACAGATATATCCTTCAGACTAAAAAATTGTGTTTTCCTGTACAGCTTTTCATCATCTTGGTCACTGGGTTAAAGATACTTTAATTTTCATCTGCTATTGCCCATATATATATATATATTTCTGCCCCCCCCCAGGAGCCTAATAAATAGGACAAGCTAGGAGGATAACTTTTGAGGTGATGTATGGATGTGACACAGAGCCTGGTTCATTACTGTATATATGTGGGTCCCATCCCACTCTTCCCCTCTTTTTCTGCTGTTTAGGAAGTTGATACAGAATGTAAAATAGAACCATTTAACAGCATAACAGCATAATTAGGGAAAATTTTCTACAAATGGCATTGTCTAATTTGATAAACATATTACTTAATTTTAACCCTTGTGTGAATTTAGAGGAAAGGCAGGCAGGTGTTGAAAAAATTAAACAGTAGTCCATCTGAGAAAGAAGTGGAGATTCTTCTTTGAGCCATTCTGAGAACTGTAACTCAGGAGACAGTCTTTCAGAAAGTTCTGATTGATGTTAGAAGTAAAAGCAAAAATATGTAAGTTTTTGAGACAAAAAGTTATATATCAAAGTAACCGGCTTGGGAAGATCCCCTGGAGGAGGAGGAAATGGCAACCCACTCTGGTATTCTTGTCTGGAAGATCACATGGACAGAGGAGCCTGGCAGGCTACAGTCCATGGGATCTTGAGAGAGTCGGACATGACTTAGTGACCAAACATCATATTGACACTTTGCATAGTCCAACAAGGTAAGTAGTGGTGTCAGTGTGACTCCTTATAGGCCTGAGAAGGCAGTATTATCTCCTGAGGAGTTACCTTGCTGGCACCAGATGGAGATTGCTTTTTGGGGGGTGAGCAGGCATTCCTGTGTCTTCTAAGGAGATCTAGTCTAGTCAATAGTGAGTGCACAGTGCACCCTAAAGGGAAGGGATGGTGACTCAAAGCAGCAGAAAAATGTTTATGCTAAAATTTTTCTTGTCCTGCCTTAAAAATAAGTTTGTTTTATCACAATGTAGGTTAATCTGTGGAGACACCAAAGATACATAAAAAATTACAGTGTTACAGTTAAAGTGAGTTGGAAGTTCTGTGCCACAGTGGAGAGAGACTGTTGACTGAATTACTGGGTTTTATTGTTGACACAGAGCAACTGTTCACTGTATGCTATAATTTTGTAAGAATGAAACTGAAGGTGTTAGTAGGGCAGTTGAAATTAATTGGTATCTTGTATAAGTTCCAAAACTTTTATTTCTGAGATCATATGTAAAATTGTCTGTAGTAACTGTTTTTATTGTAGTTATGTGAATATGTTTTGATAGGTTGAAGAAGAGAGTTGGTCATTCTGGGGAACATATTTGCATGTTCGATGTGTTAGGGGTATTTCCTGAGAGGAATTAGGGCAGAGCTGTTTGTCATGTAGGGTTTTCTTTTTAGTACAGTTCATCTCCATTTGCAGTATTAATAGTAGATATGGAATAATGGTTTTCCCTTTTTTTTTTTGGAACTTCACTATTATTTGTTTAGTAATACTAATCTGTACAAGTACTAAATATACTCATATAGGCTAAATTACTAAATATAGGCTATTTCTAAGTATATATCTGTACTTTGTTTGACTTGACTTGTTCATCTGACAGTTTTGCTTTGAAAATGTGGTCAAAGGTGACCGAAAGCATTGGGAGCTCTCCTGAGTGCCTTGTAATGGGAAACATATAATATGCTTTATGACCCTAGAGCAGAGTGTTGCTAGTCAAGAGGTTGCTCATTAAGTGCCTACTTAGAAAAGCCCTGCGAGTAAATAAATGTAAAAGCTCATACAGAGTTGACTTTGAGCTTATTTGAACTCACTTTCTGTGAGTGAATTTTGTTACATAAATTTTGAGGCTGTTGACTGAAGAAAAACATATAACCTAAAAATTTCAAGTTACGTTTTATTTGGGGACCTTACTGAGGACTGTACCCCAGGAGACAACCTCTCAGGTAGGTCGGGGGAACTGTTCCTAAGAGGTTAGGGAGAAGCCAGGATTCGTAGGAGTTTTTTTCTGGGGGAGGGCCAGGGCAGTAGTAGAACATGAGAAGAATCCTGTTAATCACACAAACAGATGTCTGAAGTTAATGATTTTAGTCCTTTTCTATGTGTGCACATGTGCTTGGTTGCTCATTTGTGGCTGACTCTTTGTGATTGCATGGACTGTAACCTGCCAGGCTCTTACTGTCCATGGGATTTTCCAGGCAGGAGTACTGGGGTGGGTTGCTGTTTCTTCCTCCAGGGGGTCTTCGTGACCCAGGGATCGAACCAGTCCCTCCTGTGTCTCCTGCATTGGCAGGTGGATTCTTTACCACTGTGCCATCTGGGAAGCCCTTTGTGCAGAAGATGTTAAAGTCTGGGATTATTGAAGTTATTCTTCACATGTGCTTTTTAGCTACCTAGGGCCTATATCCTCTCTTTCACCATCCTGAGTTCGTCTCAGGGTACAGTGAATGTGGTTGGCGGTGTTGGTTGGTAGCTTGATGGTGGGCAGCCTTCACTGTTTGCTGGAATGACAAGCAACGTTTTTCCACAGTGTTAAAAAAGTTGTCTTCTTGAGATGATTTTATGTTGATTTGCTTTGTTAAAAATTGTAATACATTTATGAACTTACAAAAGTGTTTTGCTGGTGTAATCTCTTACCCCAAGACACATCCAAACAGCAGTGAAGTAAATTGACCTCCTGTTTTACTTCACGTATTTAAAAAAATTCTCTGGTGACTACTTATTAGACTGAAGCACTGCATAATTTCTGTTTTTGAGTTTATAAAATAAAGTATATTAAAGAGAAGAAGGGTAGAACTGTTTGTTAAATGCCTCTTGTGTGTTTGGCATTAAGTAAGTGGTTTTCAATCATTACTTTACGGTACTGTGAGGGTTTGGTCTCATTTAGGATTTGCACGTGGAGTCCCTAGGGTGCAGGGAGAGTAAGCTTAGCAAAGCTCACGGAAAGTGGGGGGATAGTCTTCATGTTCTAAAGTGAAACATGCATCATAGCACAGCGTGCAGATTTGTTCTCTTGGCAAGCTTTTTTTTTTTTAACTAAAAAGTAGGAGGTGTGCAGCCGCATTGCTTGGATTTGATTCATGGCTTGGCCTTCCTACTTATTGTAATGTTTGGCAAATTATTCTAAGTCTCTACATGTCCAGGGTTGTTTTGGTTTGTTGTTGTTGTTTTTTCCTTTTTTCTTTTAGCCTGTGAAATGGGGATAATAGTCTTAACAGTCTCTTGTTTGTTGTGAGGATTAAATGAGTTAAACCATAAAGATCTCAGTATATTATCTAATGTTTATTGAACTTTCAATAAATTGGTTGTAATGAAGAACATTTTTCAGAGTTTTATATGCACAGTGACTTATTTTGCTTTATAAGTAATTTTGCTTTATAAGTAATTCTTTTGGTACTTAGGAAAACCTCAGAGTATTCCACATTATTAAAATGGTTATAAATTGTTAACTCTATTTCATTAATTCATTTTATATAAGATACTAATATAATAGATATGGTATTGTGGTTGTATTAGTTTTACTTTTCTTTGCTGTACACAGTGATTAATACGTGGTAGACAATATGTATTGCAGGATTGAGTGAACTTGAATCTGTTATCATTACCTCTTTTCTCTATAAATTCCTAAAAATTTGAACTTTATTCTTATTATAAATTATAAAAATTCTAAACTTAATGACTGATTGTGTCCCTCAAAAATTTTATTCAACTTTTTAAATGCTATTTTAGCTTGTTTTTAGCTTAAAAAAAAAAAAAGGGAAAATGATTCTTTGCTTGAAATAATCTTTAAAAAAAAATGTGATTCACATTAATGTTTTCATTTTCCTTTGTTATCTCAGCTTCACAATGAAGAGGATAATTCAGAATCATCTGGTGTAGAGCAGCCATCTACTTCAAACCCAACACCACACACCGTGCAGGCCGCTCCTTCAGCATCTGGACATGAGACTGACTCTTCTCCTCCCCCTTACAGTAGTATTACCGTGGAAGTACCTACAACTTCAGGTATTGTTGCTCTTAGTATGGAACTACTAGTAATGTTTTTAAGAACTCATTTTTTTTTTTTTTTACCAGTATGGTTTTGTATAATTATCAAGTCTGTTAATGGGCTTCTCTAGTTTTATGATTTTTTAAAACAAATTCTTCTAAAGATAGTTTATAAAATAATCTGCTCTGTGCCTTATGTATCTCACTGTTTTAGAAATTAATTTAAAAATGTAGCTTGTCAAGCTTTCTTACGCTTGCTAGAATCCATTTCCAGTGGACTAACCTATGTAACTTTTGGAAGAAATATACTTACCTATAGATTCACGCACACATATAATGCCCGCAGATGTGCATGTATAAACATACCCATACCTGTGTGTGTTTACTTGTATAGTCATAAAACCAGGTGTTATTCATGATGAATGTGAGTGGGAATGTGTGAGCATATGGGAATGGACGTGAAGAGTGTATATAGTGTTCCCACCTGCACATGGTAATATTTCTTGAATACAGGGCAGTGATTCCCGCTTGCTACTGTTCATCTCATCCTTTCAGGTCGTTCTCAAGAATACCCTCATCTGTTTCTCTGGCCACAATTTATATTTTTCCAGTAATGTTAAGTTAATCATTCTGTGATGGACGATGCTAAGAGTGAAAGTCCCTTTGCTAAATGTCCCTTTGTGGTGGCTACTATTTGTTTAACAGACTACCTCAAACCTGATGGAGTAAGATAACAATCATTATTATCAATTCTCAGAATTTGGAGGGTGAACTTGGCTCCATGATGAAGTTCTCCATAATGATAACAAGCATTATTATCAATTCTTAGAATTTGGAGGGTGAACTTGGCTCCATGATGAGGGTCTCCTGTGATTGTTGTCCAATGGAGGTAATTGCAGGCTTCCGTATTCACACATTTACTGGTTGAGGCAGGCTTCAACTGGGGCCTCAGCTGAGGCTGTTGGCCAGAACAGCTATTGGTGGCCTCCTCTTGCGGCCTGGGCTCCTCTCTGAATGCAGGCTGGCTTCTAAGAACAAGCGTTCTGAGAGAAAGCCAGATGGAACTGGTTACATTGCCTCAAAAGTCACAGTGCAGGTTGTTATAAGTGAGTCAGTTTAGTCTCTCTTAGGATTATTGAAGAATTAGTCTCCACCTCTTCACGGGAAGTGTTTCAAAGAGTAGACTGTGGTTTAAAACCGCCACAGCTGTATATAGCCTCTTCCTCTGCCACCAGGCTTGCTGCTTTGACATTCTTCCCAATTTCAGTAAATGGCTCCAGCAGGCCAGAAACCAGGGAGTCAGCTTTTTGGTCTTATTATAAAATCATGTGGTTTTTCCTCCTTCAGTTTTTGTTGTCATGAAATATTTTATTAGCATATTTCTTCTTGAAGCTAATCCATCCCTGTATTCTTGGACTTTTTGTCATCATGTTCCAGTCTTTCCTGGATTTGAATCCATTAATATTTTAGTGGTTTTGCAGCTTTTTTCAGGTGATCTGTAACTTTACGTACTGTCTTTTTGGTTTGGAAAAAGCAAACTTTTGGAAAGCAAGGTTGAAAGCAAAATTCTATGAAAACAACATAAAATGAATTGAGAAGCTTCTCAGTTTTCTGTGATGTATAGTAGTTTTGATAATGTAACATGATATTTTTAAAGGTTAGGTGAATTTCAACTGTGAAACAAGTGAAGCCTAGTTTAGATTTTCAGTTATTTTCACCATCTCCTTTGTGATTCCTGGTCTTTTAAATTTTTTCACCTGTACTTAAAGGCCATGCCTGACTAATTGAGAGTAAGAACTGAGTAATCCTAGAATTTTGGGTCTCTGCTTAATGAAAGCTATTATATTTTTCTTTAGCTTTTTGGTCAGTGTTATATTTTAGGTGTGGACAGTGCCTGTTTTCTGTGGAGATTATGTTCTTCAGTAGGTTACTTTATGACTGTTTTTATAGATCTGAGTAACATCAGTTATAAAAGGTGACATTTGTATATAATGCTTCACTTTTTACAGAGTCCTCTTGAATACTGTTCTATTTTATCCCATAATAGCAAGTAATAGTGTTGCTGGGTCAGCTTCATAGATAAGAAAGGAGAACTTCATAGGACTTAAGTGATGTGCTTCAGGTTACACAACATCCAAGAAGGAGGGCTAGGATTGGAACTCTCCAGACTTCACATTCTGTGGTTGAGAACCAACCTCTGCCTTAAAGGGGAGAAGAAAAGGAAGTAAAATTGACAAGTGAAAATTAAAGATGCTTCTTCCCAACTTTTACCTGTTACTGGCATAGGTATTTTTTCTATCTTGGGTGTTAAAACTTTTTAAAAACTTCCATATTTTTTTTTAATTGGAGAATAATTGATTTACAGTGTTACATATCTAGTTTTAAGGTAAAGGATCTCATTACCTTGGATAATATATGCCAGTGTTCCAGGTTTTTAAATAAATATTTATTTACCTTATTTTTGACTGTGCCGAATCTTCGTTGCTGCATGGGGGTTTTCTCTAGTTGCAGTGAGCAGGGGCCACTCTTCAGTGCGGGGTGTGGGCTCCTCGTCGTCGTGTCCCCTCTTGTTGCAGAGATCAGGCCCTAGGGTGCTGGGGCTTCAGGAGTTGTGGTACCCAGGCTTAGTTGGCCCGAGGCATATCGGGTCTTTCTGGACCAGGGATTGAGCTTGTGTCCTCTGCAGAGCAAAGTGGATTCCTTTTTTTTCTTTTTTTTTTTTTTTTTAGCAAAGTGGATTCCTAACCACTAGGCCACCAGGGAAGCCACCATTGTTTCAGTTTTAAAAGTTCATAATTTTAATGTTATTGCCTTAAACTTCATAATCATTGTTTCTACTGAAATTCTGCTTCTACTTTAATCTTCAGAACTAAAGAAATCTATTTACTTGACTGTGTGCAGTGTTTTTACATCCTAATAATAAGTCTTTTCTAAGAATTTGTGACTCTTGTGCCTTTTGTTGGATAACATTCAGTATTACGCTGCTGCTCACCACGTGTTACTAAGTTAAAAATTGCCTAACTCCAGACCCTTAGCTCTTACTGACACCATTATAAATACTTATTTTTGAAACCTATAGACATTAAAATGCAATAGGAAAATTTTTGCTGGAGTGTAGTGTGTTTTCATGTTGAAAATGCAAGAAAGTCTGATAAAGATAGGTAAGTTATGAACAATGTAGAAAGTGTGAAAATGCTGTCATTATAATAGAGGAAATCACAGAAGTAGTGTAAAACACTGTGGTATGTACTACTTTTAGAATCTACGTGTTATTTATGTCAGTAATTCTAGCACATCTTAGTCGACTGATTGACCTATGTGTATGATTTTACTTATATGAAAGTTGGCAATAAATGTTGAAGCTTTAAAAAAAATATTTTATTGTAATGTACTTCTGGAGATCATATTTCAAAAATAACTTAAAAATTGGGGAGGGAGAACTCTTCCAAAAAAATAAAACCTAAAGAGCTAGGTAGATGCAGGGAAAATGTGAGAAGGGATAAGAGTGAAAAAGCGTTAAAAAGCATCAATCTTTTAACAAAGAGAAATACTGAGTTTGCTTAGGAGTTGCTAAAATTGACCCATGTAGAAAAATTAATGTCATATATTAGCGGAACAAAGTCTTTGGGGTCCGGAAATTCCTGGGTTCTGCCACTTCTTGATTATGTGACCCTGGGCAAATCACCTAAGTTTTCTGAACCTCAGAGTTGCTGAGGTTAATGTATTTAGAAGTGGTATAGGAGGTGGCTAGTGCTATTTCAGTGTTGTTTTTTTTTCTTTTTTTAACTATTATTCCTGCTGTTTTCTTTTTTTGACTGTGAGATTATGGGCAGATAAATTCTCTGAGCACAGCAAGTGGGCACACAAAGCGTGTTCACATATGGTGAGTTTCTTACCTCATTTGTGTTGCACACATTTTCAGAGTCTCCTTGATGCTCTTGTTTTGTGCATCAGTCTCTGGATGATATTTATCAGTCTTTTCTCAATAAATACAGGACTCCAAGAATATGACGTAGTAATAATTCATATGTTATACAGCTTACAACGTAGGACTACAGATAGCAGTGATCATCCTCAGTGGCATTCTGTAACTTGTTAAATTGTATTATGGCTATAAAAATGTCATTAGTTTGTTTTAATAGTTACCTTTTTTTTTTTAAAACCCTTTCCTTCAGATACAGAAGCTTACAGTGAGTTTTATCCTGTGCCGCCTCCTTACAGTGTTGCTACCTCTCTTCCCACGTACGATGAAGCTGAGAAGGCCAAAGCTGCTGCGATGGCAGCTGCAGCAGCAGAAACATCTCAAAGAGTAAGACAGTATTATTGTTTCCTTTTGAGAATAATATCTAAGATAGTTCTCTCTACATGCATTTTTAAAAAAATTTTCGTATTTTCTGTACTGCTGCTCATTGTGTCATTGTGTTTTGACACTCTCTGAGTGAAATACACGTTCTGCATTCCTTGACCTCCCTCATTTCTGTTTCTGTTGGTCTTTTCCTGCACCCTGTCTCAGATTGTGGTCATCTCGGTGTTCTCATTACCAATGATGTATCATTTTCTAAACTTGATTTCAGGCATCTCATGCACTAAGACTTATCCCTCCGACCCTTCCCCCTGCCATCCCTCTGACTTCCTCATTCAAGTTACCCCCACCCTGTTGACCTCTTCACTGTTAATGAAGTGTCTTTAGTGTCTTTACTTCCTTTCTTATGTAGTTTAGATTCTGTGGTCCATAACTATAATTATAAATCATTATTTTCTATTCATTCATCCGGTCCAGTGACTCTATGAGTGAACTCACAGTAGGTTAAAACACTCACAGGCAAGCCTGGATCTGTCTCTTGTGGACTTACTGCTCCCTTCTCCTGGGTCCTGGTGTGCACAAGGTTTTGTTTGTGCCCTCTAAGAGTCTGTTTCCGCAGTCCTGTGTAAGTTCTGGCAGCTGTATGGTGGGGTTAATGGCAGCCTCCTCCAAGAGGGCTTAGCCATACCCAGGTCTGCTACACCCAGAGCCCCTGCCCCTGCAGCAGGCCACTGCTGACCTGTACCTCTGCAGGAGACACTCAAACACTCAAAGGCAGGTCTGGCTCATCTCTGTGGGGTCTTTTGGTGAGCACAAGGTTTTGTTTGAGCCCTCCGAGTATTTCTGGCAGGTATGGGGTTTGATTCTAAATGTGATTTTGCCCCTCCTACCATCTTGCTGGGGCTTATCCTTTGCCTTTTGACATGGGGTATCTCTTTTTGGTGTCTGAGGAGGCCTTACAAATGGTTGCCTAAGGAGGCCTTACAAATAGCTGAGAAAAGAAGAGAAGCTAAAGACAAAGGAGAAAAGGAAATATATTCCCATTTGAATGCAGAGTTCCAAAGAATAGCAAGGAGAAATAAGAAAGCCTTCCTCATCAATCAATGCAAAGAAATAGAGGAAAACAATAGAAAGGGAAAGACCAGAGATCTCTTCAAGAAAATTAGAGATACTAAGGGGCTATTTCATGCAAAAATGGGCACAATAAAGGACAGAAATGGTGTAGACCTAACAGAAGCAGAAGATATTAAGAAGAGGTGGCAAGAATACACAGAAGAACTATACAAAAAAGGTCTTCATGACCCAGATAACCACGATGGTGTGATAACTCACCTAGAGCCAGACATCCTGAAATGCAAAATCAAGTGGGCCTCAGGAAGCATCACTACGAACAAAGCTAATGGAGGTGATGGAATTCCAGTTGAGCTATTTGAAATCCTAAAAGATGATGCTGTGAAAGTGCTGCACTCAATATGCCAGCAAATTTGGAGAACTCAGCAGTGTCCACAGGACTGAAAAAGGTCAGTTTTCATTCCAATCCCAAAGAAAGGCAATGCCAAAGAATGTTCAAACTACTGCACAGTTGCACTCATCTCACACGCTAGCAAAGTAATGCTCAAAATTCTCCAAGCCAGGCTTCAAGAGTACATGAACCGTGAACTTGCAGATGTTCAAACTGGATTTAGAAAAGGCAGAGGAACCAGAGATCAAATTGCCAACATCCGTTGGATCATAGAAAAAACAAGAGAGTTCCAGAAAAACATCTACTTTTGCTTTGTTGACAATGCCAAAGCCTTTGACTGTGTGGATCACAACAGACTGTGGAAAATTCTTCAAGAGATGGGAATACCAGATCACTTGACCTGCCTCCTGAGAAATGTGTATGCAGGTCAAGAAGCAACAGTTAGAACTGGACATGGAACAACAGACTGGTTCCAAATCAGGAAAGGAGTATGTCAAGGCTGTATGTTGTCACCCTGCTTATTTAACTTATATGCAGAGTACATCATGAGAAATGTCTGGCTGGATGAAGCACAAGCTGGAATTAAGATTTCTGGGAGAAATATCAATAACCTCAGATATGCAGATGACACCACCCTTATGGCAGAAGATGAATAAGAAGTAAAGAGCCTCTTGATGAAAGAGAAAGAACAGAGTGAAAAAGTTGGCTTAAAACTCAACATTCAGAAAACTAAGATCATGGCATCCAGTCCCATTACTTCATGGCAAATAGATGGGGAAACAATGGAAACAGTGAGAGGCTTTATTTTTTTGGGCTCCAAAATCACTGCAGATACTGTTTATAATAGCCAGGACATGGAAGCAACCTAGATGCCCATCAGCAGACGAATGGATAAGGAAGCTGTGGTACATATACACCATGGAATATTACTCAGCCGTTAAAAAGAATTCATTTGAATCAGTTCTAATGAGATGGATGAAACTGGAGCCCATTATACAGAGCGAAGTAAGCCAGAAAGATAAAGACCATTACAGTATACTAACACATATATATGGAATTTAGAAAGATGGTAACAATAATCCTATATGCAAAATAGAAAAAGAGACTCAGATGTATAGAACAGACTTGTGGACTCTGTGGGAGAAGGCGAGGGTGGGATGTTTCAAGAGAACAGCATCGAAACATGTATATTATCTAGGGTGAAACAGATCACCAGCCCAGGTTGGATGCATGAGACAAGTGCTCAGGCCTGGTGCACTGGGAAGACCCAGAGGGATCGGGTGGAGAGGGAGGTGGGAGGGGGGACCAGGATGGGGAATACATGTAAATCCATGGCTAATTCATTTCAATGTATGACAAAAACCACTGCAATGATGTAAAGTTAATTAGCCTCCAACTAATAAAAATAAATGGAAAAAACAACAACAACAACAACAACAAAAATCACTGCAGATGGTGACTGCAGCCATGAAATTAAAAGACACTTGCTCCTTGGAAGAAAAGCTATGATAAACCTAGACAGCATATTAAAGAACAGAGACATCACTTTGCCGACAAAAGTCTGTTTAGTCAAAGCTATGGTTTTTCCAGTAGTCATTTACGGATGTGAGAGTTGGACCATAAAGAAAGCTGAGTGCCGAAGAATTGATGCTTTCGAACTGTGGTGCTAGAGAAGACACTTGAGAGTCCCTTGGACAGCAAGGAGATCCAACCAGTCAATCCTAAAGGATATCAGTTCTGAATATTTATTGGAAGGACTGATGCTAAAGCTGAAACTACAGTACTTTGGCTACGTGATGTGAAGAACTGACTCATTTGAAAAGACCCTGATGCTGGGAAAGATTGAAGACAGGAGGAGGAGGAGGGGACGATAGAGGATGAGACGGTTAGATGGCATCACCGACTCAATGGACATGAGTTTGAGTAAGCTCCGGCAGTTGGTGATGGACCAGGGAAGCTTGGTGTGCTGCAGTCCATGGGGTTGAAAAGAGTTAGACACAACTTAGCTATTGAACTGAATTGAACTGAACTGAGGTTAAAACACACACAAAAATTTTACCAGGCCTTCAAACTTACGTTTGTCAATTCACTTCTTTTTTTTCCTGTCCTTTGAACACATGCCACCCCAGAATTTGGGAATGATGGTCAAAGATTCCAGCACCCGTTCTCCCCCATCTTCCCTGTCTTAGTAATCGAGTCAGTGATAGATGCCTATGTTATTTCCTGTTCTGGTAAAGGAGTGGCTATCTCGGTAATAGGGAGTGAGATGTATGTATGCTGTTATTCTTCAGTCATGTGAAAAGCGGGGAATTACTTAACATTTTACCACGCCTGCAAGCAGGGCTAGAGTTTGTTACCTTTTTTTTCTTGCCTTAGACTTTAGAGGTGTCATTTCAAATTTTTGATTCATCCCCATTTTGTTCAGGAAAAGAACACAAAATATCGTGTCATGGAGGAAAGCTCGAATGAGGTGAGGGGCCAAGGTGGGGAGGAATGTGTTTGTATGTATTCTCACCCTGCCACCAACAGGCCAGCTCCCTATGAGTAGGTTGTCTGATGGTTGAGTGGTTGGGTTTCTTTCATCAGCCAAAACCATCTCCACACCTTCTCCCACTCCTATCCTCCAGCACACACAAAGTTAAACATCATCATAAGTAGTTTTGGGCACATACGTAAAGATAGTAAACCGCAAATTTATTATTGATGCATTTTCCATCTGAGAGTTAAGTAAGTTTTTGTTAAGACCGTGGCATAAATATAGCTCAGTCAATAAGGATTTTTGATGTTGGGAGGAGAGAATTATAGAGCAGGAGGACAGATCTGTAAGGTGTGGAGTTTTTATCAGGCATGTGTGTTTATGTGCACGTTTGTATATACATGCACACACACTCTTGGTGACGTGGGACAGTGGCTCCTTTTCTCAGGGAATGTCTCCCTGGGGACTTTGGGAATGGTAAAGGTCTTTAGGGCTTTGCTGGTGGCTTAGATGGTAAAGAATCTGCCTGTAGTGCAGGAAACCCAGGTTCAATCTCTGGGTCGGGAAGATCCCCTAGAGAAAGGAATGGGTACCCACTCCAGTAAAGGATGTTAAGGACCTTATGTCTTCTGTTGCCCTAACTTCCACTCTATTGGATCAAAACTAAAGAGAAAGTAGGAATCATTAAGTCTTGTTCTCTGTGTCTTGAGATAGAAGCGATTTTACCTTTTGGAGAGAAAACTGAAGTGTTACTGTTAGAACCCTTCACTGTCGTCATTTCCAGTGTCTTGTTTTAGAAAGTAATGTGATTCTCTGCCTGAATTGGAATATGCCCATAAAGAAAAGTTTTCTGTTTTTACTTGTTTCTGAGACCATTTTAACTCTAGCTTATGAAGATGTGGAAAATTTTATGGAAAGTAGAAACAGAGTTGTGCAAGGAAACTAACTTTGACCCTTGTAAAAAATCTTTCAAATTTGTCTGTTTCTATCCCCCTGCTCCAGCACCCTCTTTCTGCAGATGATCATCGAGTATGAGTTTCTATACTTGATTCAGATAAAAAACTGGTCTGATTAGCACTTGAGTACTTTGAGTTGTAAATAAATCTCAACTGGATTAACTGAAAGTTTATATCTTAAACCCAGTTTCATTGGGGGAATATAGGTAGTCAGGACACTTGGAAACAATACTTTTTCCTACTGTTTCTTATTTTTATTGTGTAGGGTTGCAGGTATGATTATGTGATGACTCAGTAGATTTACTGAAATGCATTACCCATTTTTAATATTTCTATGAAAAATAGAAAGAACTAAAGAACCTCTTGATGAAAGTGAAAGAGGAGAGTGAAACAGTTGGCTTAAAGCTCAGCATTCAGAAAACTAGATCATGGCATCCAGTTCATCACTTCATGGCAAATAGATGGGGAAACAGTGGAAACAGTGAAGGACTTTATTTTTCTGGGCTCCAAAACCACTGCATATGGTGATTGCAGCCATGAAATTAAAAGGCTCTTACTCCTTGGAAGGAAAGTTATGACCAACCTAGACAGCATATTAAAAAGCAGAGACATTACTTTGTCAACAAAGGTCCGTCTAGTCAAGGCTATGGTTTTTCCAGTGGTCATGTATGGATATGAGAGCTGGACTATAAAGAAAGTTGAGCACCGAATAACTGATGCTTTTGAACTGTGGTGTTGGAGAAGACTCTTGAGAGTCCCTTGGACTGCAAGGAGATCCAGCCAGTCGATCCTGAAGGAGATCAGTCCTGGGTGTTCATTGGAAGGACTGATGCTGAAGCTGAAGCTCCAATACTTTGGCCACCTCATGCGAAGAGTTGACTCATTTGAAAAGACCCTGATGCTGGGAAAGATAGAGGGCAGGAAGAGAAGGGGACGACAGAGGATGAGATGGTTAGATGGCATCACTGACTCAATGGACATGGGTTTGGGTGGACTCTGGGAGTTTGTGATGGACTGGGAGGCTTGGCGTGCTGCGGTTCATGGGGTTCCAAAGAGTTGGACACGACTGAACAACTGAACTGAACTGAACTGATGAAAAATATTTGAATTTCACATAATTCACTTTATAAAACTTTTAAACATGGCTTGCCACTTTGTCTCATCTTATAAGCATCTAGTGGATAGGATTCATTTTTTTGTACGTTGTTTAAAATTGTATGTGAGTACAATTTTGACACAAAAGCTAGCACTTGATCAATTATGCACAACTCCAAGATGATTTCTAATACCTAGCTATTACCTAGCACATCCTTGGTGTTTAATAAATAATAGTTAATTAAGTTAATGAATGCTTTTTTAAAAATAGCCAGTGTGGGAAATTAGAAAGAAAAAATACTATTGTTGTCCTAAGACAGCTGTTTGTTTTAAATTTTTTCTTAATTTTAAGGCTTCTAAGTCAATGTTTAATTGAAATTATTGTGTAGCTACCATGTTTTATTTTTTTAAGCATTTTATGTATTTTCTGTTACATTAATGGTTGAGTGAGATTCCATGGAATCAATATACTCTTAATATAGGGGCCATTCCTCTCTAGTGAACTGTTAGAATCTTTTCAAGAGTGTGTTTTCCAGTGTTAATGTTGTAAAGGACGTCTTTGTGTATATGTCACCTATCTTTGTAAAAATGATGTCCCTATGGTAAAATCTCTTGGACTGCTGTTTCTGAAGAATATGAAATATTTATATGCTTGCCACTTTATTGACAGTGTTTTTTTGAGCTCCTACTATGCTTTAGCGTTTATTTCTTGAATTAGCTTAAAATGATACAAAAATTTATTAATATGTATTTAATTATTGCTAGTGATTACACTGACCATCAGAAGGTGGCCTTGGAAATATGATTGCAGAGTTTAAGGGATCTTTTTGCCTAAATAATGAGTAGTATGGTTTTGAAAATCTTTTTCCTTCAGGAAAACAACATAATGTAGTGAGACAGCCATGCTTGGATGGAAAGAACTTTGGTATCCTGGGTTCACGTCCTGCCTTGCCCTAGCTAATTATGTGATCTTGGGCAGGGCACTTAGCTTCTTTGAGCTCTGTCTGTACCAATACAAAGTTGAAACAAAACACCCAGGAGAGATAACATGTATGTAACATGGAGATTAAATATTTGTAGATCAGGTCATGTCATTTATTTGTTAAAAATTCTGTAAGACCTCCTAGTTTACTCAGTAAAACTCAGGGTCCTTTCGTGGACTCTCTGACATTTCTTCCTGTTTGCTTTCAGTGGTTTCAGCCATGTCAGCTTCCTTGCTATTTCTGTAGCCGGGTCTGATTCTATCTTAGGACCTTGGCACTGGCTTGTCCCTCTGTCTGAAACACTCTTCTATGAGATATCTGTATAGCCACCGTACCTTACCTCTCCTTTAAGTCTTTGCTCAGTGATGCCTTAATGAGGCCTGTGCAATCTCCATCTTTAAAACAGTAACCCTTACTTAATATTCTAAACATCCTTTCCCTTTTTTTTTTGTAGAACATTTATACCTTTTAATAATTTTATAAGTAACTTATTTATTATATCTTTATTTGTTGTCTGGTTCCCCTCACTGGGATTTAGGCTTCAGAAAGACAGACATCTTGATTTTATGTACGTTCATGTATCCCAAGTACTAGGAAGTGAAGTCTTATGTAGAATGGGTGTTCTGTCAACAAAAATATTCAATGTTTGTTGAATATTAGAGGCAATTAGTGATAACAGACTTTATGTACTTTCAGAGAAATTTCTCAACATTTATAAGCAACTACATTAATGTGTTTGTATAATTTTTGTACACAAAAGCATTGTACTGTACAAATGACTTTCACTTAATATATTTTGGAAATTGTCATTTATTTTTAAATATTTGCTGTTTGAATTTAATTGCTTTTGATATACAGTAATTTATATCATTGGTCTTAGAATTATCAATGGTCTGAGATTTTACCCTACTTGCAAGCTGTCTGATTTGCTTGTCACAGTTTTGTGGATGCTCACAGAAGACATCAGACAGAAACTTTATTATTCACAGCAGCAGTGAGTAGTCAGAGTATTATCATTTGCTCATGCCAGTTTCAAGTCCCACAGGGCAGCTCAAACAAGGCCAAGCGATGCCTCTACTTGGAATGTGGAACCCTAAGTTTAGGCGAACCCAATATTTTCTAATGGTCAGTAAGCACACCTACCTCCCTGCTCTGGTGAACGTCAGTCAGTCATGTCTGACTCTTTGTGACCCCATGGACTGTATAGTCCAGGAATTCTCCAGGCCAGAATACTGGAGTGGGTAGCCTTTCCCTTCTCCAGGGGATCTTCCCTACCCAGGGATCGAACCCAGGTGTCCTGCATTGCAGGTGAATTCTTTACCCGCTGAGCCACCAGGGAAGCCAAGAATACAGGAGTGGGTAGCCTATCCCTTCTCCAGGGGATATTTCAGACTCTGGAATCGAACCAGGGTCTCCTGCATTGCATACAGATTCTTTACCAACCGAGCTATCAGGGAGCCCTCCTCTGGAGGGAGATACAGTTTGTCTCTCTCAAAGCTGTATACTGTATAAACATCCTTGAAAAGATAATAGACAGGCAGTGCCTCTACCTGGAAGATGTAGAAACACCGAAGACTCACAGATAATTGTCTCCTGACAGTAGCCCACTGCTCATGGGCATTTATTTTGTATCTAATTTTTTATCCTTATTAACATTGCTGCAGTGAATTGTCTTTACTACATCGTTTCCTACAAGTGATTTTCAAGAGCTGGAGTTACTGTGTCAAAAGATGTATACATCTTAATTTTTGATAAATATTGCCAGATTGCCAGCCATGGAGTTTGTATCAGAGTTCACTGTTGATTATGAAAAATCCTTTCTCAATTTGACACTAAGGTAGCAGTGTCACATCTTTCTTTTGTGATATCATTTTCATTAATACAGTGTTACTCAATTTTTATCTTTTTTGTGTTCTCTTTCAAAGTTACTCTTTTCAAGGGTGCCCATGAAAACTAATAATTACTGACATTTTTTGAGTGCTTATTATGTGCCAGACATTGTACTCATTATCTCATTTTGCTTATACACTACATTGAGGGCATTAGACTTTATAATAAATTTTTATCTTTTCACTCAAGGTAATAAAGTTGTAATTAGGTTAGTGAACTATTCTAATGGTGAATTTTTTACAGATTCAAGAGGAAGAGTGTCCACCAAGAGATGACTTCAATGATGCAGACCAGCTCAGAGTGGGTAATGATGGGATTTTCATGCTGGCGTTTTTCAGTAAGTAATATTTCATTTCCAGACCTTTTTCTTGCAGGTGTTAGTTGTGTGTGTATTTAAAGCAGTGTAGACAGTGAAGAAAGACAAGTATTGTCAGTGTGTCTTACATTGTTTAAAATGTAAATTGCTCTTGATCTTGAACTAACTGTGATCTTATGTTATGATGCAAGTCCTCGAATTTGTTCAACACCTACCAGGTAACTTTATATAGCAGTTATTATGCTAGATGCTTACTGTATAGAGATACATATAAGCATATTGAGAGCTAGATATGTTTTTGTATGTGAATTTGTACATGTCCATTTGGGGCCATAGGAACATGTATAATAAAATGGTAAATTCTGTTTTTGGTGCAGAGAACATCCACTTGAGTGTCTTTAAACAGGAGGTAGTCTGGGCAAATGGGACAATGTGATTTGAGACACAGAAATATGAGTTTGTCCTATTTGTGGAGAATGGTGAATCACTAGAAGACCAGAAACCTGAGTAATAGTTATTTTAACATTTTGCAACATTCTTAATTTAGCATTGGACTTTATAAAGTAGATTATGCTTTAAGAAGACTTTGTTATAGTCTTCATTATTTCAGTTCCTAACTCAGGGATTGGCGCATAGTACATGTGACACTCAAACTGTTTAAATTGCTAAAATAATTCATAGAAACCCAGTATTCAAGTATGTAAATTTATCAGTAAAATTATGATAGGGTTAATTTCTGCCCTCAACTAGTTAAGTGATCAAGCTTTCATACTTACTTTGATAGCATGCTGACTTAATGTATTTCAACTGTATAGTTAATTTTTATAATAAAGCTGAGGAATGTTTTACTTAAAATACCACATTCCACTTTAATAATAGACAGTATAGAAAATACATACTTCCCGAGTTGAGTTACTTCTGAGTCTAAAAATTCAGTTATCTTTTCCTCCATTTTGAAATGGTTTCTTGCTTCTTTTCTTTCTTTCATTTCATCTGCTGAAGAATAGAAGTATCAGAAGGGTGTGGGTGGATGTGCAGGCAGTTACATTTTCCTCTTCAGATTTTCTGAATTATATTCAGGTTGGCAATCAGATAATGTATATGCAATATTTATATCTCATGGTTTTAGTTACAGTTCGTCGTTAGATATGTTAAGTACGGGACTTCCCTGGTGGCTCAAAAGGTAAAGAATCTGCCTGCAATGCAGGAGACCTGGGTTTGATCCCTGGGTTGGGAAGATCCCCTGGAAGGGAATGGCTACCTCACTCCAGTATTCTTGCCTGGAGAATTTCATGGACAGAGGAACCTGGTGGACTACAATCCAGGGGGTTACAAAGAGTTGAACACAACTGAGTGATTAATGCACACATGTTTAGTATGATGAAAAGGAAATTCACACTTTGGCTACAAAATAATTCTTCTTTGTACTATTAGTCTAGTAAACCTTAATTTTTTTCTTAGTTCAACCGGTAACCCTTTATATTAATAGCAGGCTTCCCACATATTTTCTTTACAAAAAGAGTAGTGTAAACATTAATTCCTTTCATGGTTGTCTTTTAAGAAATCTTAATTGGTAAAGGAAGAATTTAAATTTATTGTAGTTACTTGTAGTATAAATACCCATTTCTTAGAAATGAAAACATGTTATTTGACACCATCTAATTATTTGACTCAAGCTTAGTTATTATCTCTGCATTTCTGTATTTGACTTAACCGTGCTATCTTCTTCTCAATCTGTAATTTTTAGATCTGAAAGCATTTTACTGATACACCAGTGTTGTAAATGCACAGTAACCTAGGCACTTGGTTGGCCCTGTTTTTGGTCAGTGGTAGTATGTTAATTGATACGAATATAAATGTTTACATTTAATGTGTTAATGTAAATTATCTGCCTATTATTACATTTTTACTAAATTAAGTTTCTACAATTTATATCTTTATGCTTCCTATTAGAATAGGAATCTTTGTAGACAATATTGCACTGATATTATAAGAGTAAGATTATATCAATTGTCACCTTCATTTCGTGATATACTTCTTTGGGTAAAGGCTATTGGCCCGTGCGGCACATTTATTTGCTTTAGTAAGCATAGATTTATTTGCAGTCACTGCCATCTAGTGGCTGTCTGCAGCTATCCAGTAGCCAGTTGAGCATGACTGAGCGGCTAAACAGCAGCAAGCTGTTGTTTAGATTCTCTTCTGCTGTCTATTTCTAAGGTCTGGAAATAGATTTTCTTTAACATGGTTTATAATTTAAACATTTCAGATTATATAAGTTGTGCAAATAAAACTGTAAGAATTTTTCAGTAAGATTTTCAGTAAGACTTTTTAGTAAGAATATTTCAATTTAAACCTTTTGTTGGTTTAATTTTACTTTCTCTGTTTTCACCATCCACAATTCAGTCTCTTACTACGTGTAACCTTAAAGTTTACACGTAAATTTGGTACAATAATTTCTTGCTCATGTTCAGAAAATGTAAAGAAAGAAATGTGTATATCCCCTGGTGATGCTTTGCTTCTCATAATCCTTTGAAGTGTCACTGCAAAATGTCTTACATATCCCTTATCTCCTTGTGTCTGAGCCTACTTTTAACAGATTTTCTCTCAAAAAGAATGAAATAGAAGTCAGTTATACGTCCGTTAGTTAAAAGCTAGAAATTAAGGTTTGATTCATTGGATAAGTGACATTCTGTGGAAATTACCTTGAACTCTAGTGCTTAAAAACCTAATCTATTCTGCTTAGAAATCTTTTCTGAGGTTTATCCATGTGTGAGTCTTCACATCAGCATGCTATCATAATAATTAATCACTTGCATTATTCCCATTTTAGACTTGAGGGAATCAGAGTTAAGGAGATACTAGGTTATTTGTAAGTTGGGCTTCCCTGGCGGCTCAGATGGTAAAGAGTCTGCCTGCAGTGCAGGAGACCCAGGTTCAATCCCTGGGTCATGAAGATCCCCTGGAGAAGGAAATGGCAACCCGCTCCAGTATCCTTGCCTGGAAAATCCCATGGACGGAGGAGCCTGGCAGGCTACAGCCCATGGGGTCGCAAAGAGTCGCACAGGACTGCGCTACTTCCTTTCACTTTCAAGTAAGTTTAGAAAGAATTAGAAAGATGTTTTGAAATGTGAATTCTGATTTGTAAGAATTTCTTCCAGTTCCATTCTGCATTCCCACCAGCAGTGAATGAGTGTTCCTATTGCTCCGATCCTCATCAGCATTTGGTACTGAGAGTTTTAAAAATTTTAGAAATCTAATAGTTGTGTGGTGGTATCTAGTTGTGGTCTAATTTGCATTTCCCCAATGATTAGTGGTATTGAACATCTTTATGCAGTAAGTAATTTCAAGCACCTACCATGGGTGAGTCATATAAGCGACAGTTCTTAAAGAGGTTATCTGGGTACGACACATTGATTGCCTTGTTAGGCATCAATGACTTACTCTCTTCATATAAAGCTAGGTTTTTATATAGCTTTGGGCTCACATATTGTAATTGCATCCAGAAAGGGAAGATATCTAAGAGTTGTAACTGTACCTTAAGAAACTCATAATATTTGTGAAGTATTAAATTTTATTGAATTTGTTCTGTTTATAAGGAAAATAATTTTTTGGTCATTTTGTTGCTTGTAGTTTAGTGGAAATGTCTGAAAATTAATACGTTGTTAGCTTCATGTTTTTCTCAATGTTGATAGTTTAAATGAAGAGAATTGCATGAGGATAAGACAGAAATTTGCCTTTATGCAGTTCAGAATCAAGTATAGTGAAATTGATTATTCTTTGGGAATTTACTGTATTTGAAATGCATTTATATATAAACTGCATTTATATATAATGAGGATTTTTCTGTGATAAAGTTAATAAGTGCTTAATGTTAGTATTATATTGGTGTTCATTCATTTGTAATATTCACTTGTTTGTTTTCAGAGCAAGTACCAAATTGTTTATTTTTTATTTTTTTTTATTATTTTTTTTTTCATTTATTTTTATTAGTTGGAGGCTAATTACTTTACATCATTGCAGTGGGTTTTGTCATACCCAAATTGTTTAAAATTTAAACATTTTAAACTTTTCATTTTGAAATAATTTTAAATTTAGGAAGAAAAATGCGGAAACAGTACAATTGGAATATAGCTTTCATCCAACTTTTCCAAGTGTTAACATATGTAACTTTAGTAATCAACATTGGGAAGTTAAATTAGCATCATGAAATAACACTGACTAGCCTGTAGATCTTTTTCAGAGTTTCCCAGCTGTGTCACGGATGTCTTTTTCTTGGTCCAGCATCTGTTTTGGGATTACACATTGTATTAGCCTCTGTGTTTCCATCATCTGCCTCAATCCAGAACAGTTTTTCAGTCTGTGTTTGTTTTGTAACAACTTTGATACTTCTGTAGAGTCCTGGTCGGTTATTTTGTAGAATGTCTTTCAATTTGGATTTAGCTAATGTTTGCCTGTGATTAGATTCAGGTGGTACATTCTGCCCCATCCCCCAAGAATATCACAGAAATGCTGTCTTTTCAGTGCATCATATCAGAAGGCAATGATCTGGATGTCTTTTTACTAGGTATTTTATTGCTAGGTATCTTATTCCTAGGTATCTTATTACTAGTGATGGTAACGCTCACCAAGTTAAGGTGGTGTCTGCCAGCTTTCTTCACTATGGAGTTACTCTTTTCCCCTTTATTATTGATACCTATCTTGTGGCTATTGAAAATTTAAAAGTGTAGCCATACTAGTTAATGGATAAACTATAGTATATAATATTGCTTTCTGATTACCCGACAAATTCTTTGGGTAGGTGGGAGGTATATGTATAAAATGATCAGTGTAAACAGGTATAAAAGACTTGGTTGCAAAAAAAAAAAAAAAAGACTTGGGTGCTACAGTCCTACCCACAATGCTTCTTACTTACCTTGTGACTTCGTGTGTGGAGCCTAACTGTTCTGACTCTTAATTTGTCCTTCTGTGAAAGGGAATTAATTCTGATCTCGTCCTTCTTAAAAGGCTAATGTAAGGATCAAATGAGTTAATACACATGAAATGCCATGAATTATGAGTGCTGTTAGTGAAGGTGGTGTTCGCCTTCCTCATCCTTAACTGAGACTTCACCTCTCAGTTCTAGTAAGTCATTTGATTGGCAGCCTTCTTTCAGATGCCATTCACCTATCTAAATCTGCCTTATTTGCTCTTAGAAAAAGAAAAAAAGGACTGCAAGCAGAGAATTGTAATTGAAACAACCTAAGTGTACTTTACCAAATTTCCTGTGCTAATTTTCCTACTTCCCTGGTATTTACTCCCCCAAATCTTACTTTTCCACAGGAGTATAGCTTATATGAACCTGTTGCTTCTCTGGGTTCCATCTTGGGCCTTGCTGTGTTGGGAATAGGTGACCTCCACCTTTTTAAAAAAGAAAAATATTGATTTATTTTGCTGTGCTGGGTCTTAGTTGCGACATACAGGATCTTCAGTTTTCACTGCTGTCTGTGGGATCTTTTCAGTTGTGGCATGGGTATTTTTAATTGTGGTATATGGGATCTAGTTCCCTGACCAGCCACCTGCAAGCCAGGAAGAAAACCCTTACCAGAAATGGAATTTTCTGACTCATTGATCTCAGACTTCTGACTGGGAGTATGGAGTCTAATCCACTTGACCCGCAGGAAAGTCCCTTCCCTACACCTTTTAAGCTTCCTTATTTTGTTCTAGCTCTCTAGTGGAACATGCATGAATGAAGGTGGAGCTGAAAGAAAAGTATTCATATCTTCTCTCTTAGGCATGTATTGATATCTGTTCACCTGTCTCTACTACACATTCTTTCTTTTATGGATTTGACATACCTAAGGTTTAGTGTATGTTTATTAAATCCTTTCCCTGACAATTCAGACATGCCTTAGCAGTACTCAACATTCTGGCACCAGGGACCAGTTTCATGGAAGACAATTTTTCCACAGACCAGGGAGGAGGGGGTATGGTTTGGGGATGATTCATGTATGTGCATTGCATTTATTGTGTACTTTATTTCAACTATTACATCAGCTCTACCTCAGATCATCAGGCATTAGATCCCAGAGGCTGGGGACCCAGTGAGGATCCAAAATGGAATGCCCTGCCCTTTCTGTTCGTTAAAGACTTAGCAGCTTTACTTTCTGTCTTATAGACCAAAGGGCATAAAAAGTGAATCTGTCTGTGCTTCAGTTGTCACAGCTTCTCTGTTTTAACTAGTGCGTGTGTATGTGAAAGCAGTTGTTAAAGGTGATTAAGTTATGTGTGTTCAGGCTGCCGTAACAAAATATCACAGACTGGGTGGCTTAAACAATGAAAATTTATTTCCTCATGGTTCTGGAAGCTAGAAGTCTGAGATCAGAGAGCCAGAAAATTTGGTTTCTGGTGAGGGTTCTCCTCCTGGCTTGCAGATGGCTGTCTTCTTGCCGTGTCCTCACATGGCCTCTTCTCTGCGTGTGCACAGAGAACTCCCTGCCGTCTCTGCCTCTTCCTGTAGGGATGCCAGCCCTGTTGTATTCCGGCTTTACCCTTACAACCTCAGGTATTTGTAACTCCCTCCCTAAAGGCCCTGTCTCTATCTAAGTCACACTGGGGGGTTAGGACTTTAATCTACAAGTTTCCAGGAGGGTGCAGTTCAGTCAATAACAAAGTGTATCACATGAGCAGAGTTTATAGGAATTCATACCACTGGCGGAGACCATAAAGAAAACATGACACCTCATTAAGTACTTTTACGTCCTTTTGAATCTTGTTCCTCTTTGGGGCACAATGATATGTCTAGTAGATAGTGGTAGGTCTGATTTTGAAGAAACGGGACAGTGTTTAGATGCTTTTTTCCCCCAAAGCTAAACATATACATGCTCAATGGTAAAAAAAAAAAAAAAATAACACTTTTGAAATATTTTGCTGTTTTGGATTTCTCTGTCAGTGCTTCCTGTTTTGACGTAGGAAGATACCTGTGATAGGAGATACTTGCAAAATGGTAGGATGTTCATAGCACACTGGGATGGGGTGCTCAGGGCTGGAGGCATCTGTCCTCTGCCCCAGACCTCTCCTGCCTGCCCTAAGGGTTGAGGAGAGAAGTACCTCAGCTTGTCATTAGCACGTATGTAGCAACCAGTTGGGAATCTCTGCTGCTGCTTGGTACAGTTCTTTAAATAGATATAAAACTGGTTTTGTTATCTGCTTTCCCCACAGTTAACACAAATATTAGCCAGTTAGGTAGAGAGCTGCTATATGCAGTAGATTATTCTAGAACAATGGAAGTGTTCTATCTCTGTTGTCCAGTATGGTAGCTAAAATTAGAGAATAAACAAGCTTTATAAGGTGTAGCTTCCCTGGTGGCTCAGATGTAAAGAGTCTGCCTGCAGTGCAGGAGGCCCAGGTTCAGTCCCTGGGTCGGGAGGATCCTCCGGAGGAGGACATGGCAACCCACTCTAGTATTCTTACCTGGAGAATCCCATGGACAGAGAAGCCTGGTGGACTACAGTCCATGGTGTTGCAGAGTTGGACACCACTGAGTGACTTCCGCACTTTCACACACTTTATTTATAGTAGTGTCTCCTGAAGTGTTTTTGGCAGGAAAGATGGAACCTGTTCTGTAATGTGAAGAGATCGTTTTGTATGTATAGGGATGGTGGCAGGCATTGTTTAGCAACCACCATGTGCCAGGTGCTGTGCTGAGCTTTTAACATTCTCACTTAATCCTCTTATCAATCTCATGAAGTCGGTGCTTAAAGATCAGAGAACTGTGGCTCAACAGAAGTTAGCAGTGAGTCCAAGGTTGTACATCCAGTGAGTGAGTTGTGACTCAAACACAAGTCTCTTATTTGAAAATTCATTTTTCTGGCTATTGTGTCACCATCTATTATAGCTTCCCATAAATGATCAAAAAGGCTGCATCTACAAAGTTTTAGGAAGGAAGAAATGATAGTAGTAGGGGCATTGCTTCAAAGAAATAGCCGTTTCATCTGAACTTATCTTAAAACATTTCCTCTATGTCTTTAGAATTTTGAAAAACCAGAATTTCTCTAGGTAATTTACTTTATTCTCCCTGGGGCTTAGTTGGAGATATTTAGGGTGAGAGGATGAGCTGTGAACAAGACTTACATTCAAGTTGGTCTTTAGTTTTATTATTATTATTGCTACTATTATGTGATATTGTTGATATCGTGAACATAAATATGGCACTCTGATTATATCTCAGGGACCTGGGATATAATCCTGGGTCAGAATGGTTTATGCTACAAATAATAGAAAATCCTCACTCAGCTGTTGTAAATAGTTAGGAGACTGTCTCATAAAAGCAGAAGTCTCTGGATAAGCAGACCTCAGGCACAGACTGTGTCAGTGCTGTGGCTCTGCTTTGCTTTCTTCTTCACAAAAACAGCACACACACACACACACACACACACACACACACACATACATACACACACGTGCACACAAACCCACCGACCCACCCACCCACCATCTACCCATCCACCCCACCCTGCCCCAATCCACCCCAGCAGACTTGGAATGATGGTTTAGTTCTCAGGCTGATAGCAGGATCATGGCAGCAGTTTCAGGTATGATGATTAAATGTGACATCCAGTGGAAGAAGAAGGGCCTTTTCTTTTTCTTCTTCTTCCTTTTTTTAAAGCTTTTATTGTAGAAATTCTCAAACTGGATGAAAGTATATTAAACATCTCTGTAGGATTTCCTTGGTGGACTAGTGGTTAAGACTCAGTCTTCCAGTGCAAGGGAGTGCAGGGTTTGATCCCTGGTTGGAGAACTAAGATCCCACATGCTTTAGGATGTGGCCAAAAATTTAAAATTAGCACACACAACATTGTAAATCAAGTGTGTTTCAATTTAAAAAATTAAACAAAGCATCTGCATATCCATCGCCCAGCTTCAACAGTGATCAGTTTAGAGCTGTCATTGAGCCTAAATTCCATCCTCGCTCTCCTTGCTGTGTTTTTAAGAATGTTTTTCAGAAGTCCTATTTACAACATAAAATCACTGGCAGGGGATTTGGGCCTCCTGTGATTTCCCAGACTACTCAGGACTCACCTTTGGGGGCTAAGTATGGGGTCCAGCCACCCCTTAAATACAGGATCTAAAGGTAGGTGGGTTCCTGGGAAGGGGAACCACAGGTTTTGTTAGGTAGGAAGAGGCTGTGAACAATATTTGCTCCTGGAACATTAGTATAATTTATTTATTATTAAAATACATAATTTATTCAGCTTATCTTTAATACTGCTTTTTTAAAAAGTCAATTTGGTTGGCTGGTGTCTTAGACTAGACTTTTTGGGTAGGATTGCATGGCAGCCACATTGTGACTTAATTTTTAACTGGACTAAAATTACAATTTCACGTTTTGGGTTATAAGCTCTAAGGTATTGATTCTTGTTGACCAAACTGACAAGAAACCAAGCTTACCCATTTGTTAATGGATAGTAAACAACTAAGTCCATTTGAAAAAGGTAGACTGTAGTCTGTAAGGAAGACTTAGTACAGAGTTAAAAGAGAGAACTGCTGTTTCCATTGAGCAGTGAAGTATTATTTATATTCCACGAAGTAGTAGTGGTATTTGTCACTCAGTCATGTCCTACTCTTTGAGACATGATGAACTGTAGCCTGCGAGGCTTCTCTGTCCGTGGAATTCCAGGCAAGGATACTGGAGTGCATTGCCATGCCTTTCTCCAAGGGATCTTCCCAACCCAGGGATCAAACTCAGGTCTTCTGAATTAGGTCTCTGTTAATGTGTTTCCAGTGTGTGGCCTTTTAAAAGAACGATTTCTCTTGCTTCCAGTGGCATTTATCTTCAACTGGCTTGGATTTTGCTTATCCTTCTGCATCACCAACACCATCGCTGGGAGGTACGGTGCCATCTGTGGCTTCGGCCTGTCGTTGATCAAATGGATCCTCATTGTCAGGGTGAGTGTCATGATAGCCTCTACCACTTTTATTGCTAAAATCAAAGTATGTGAGATTACCTGTGTGATTCATAAATGTTCATTTTGTGTATTTTGTGTATATGAGTTCAGTTATTTTGAGACTTATTCTTAACTTCTTAATTATTATAGTGATCTCTGTGGTGTGAACATTTTCTGACTGTATTGTATGAGAATTTGTTAGTATGTGGAAAGAACTTTGAGATCAGATAAATTTGAGTTTGAATTTCATCATTTTTATATCATTGTTCTGACTTTTAAGTTTTTAAATTGTTCAGAGTGTTAGTTTCTTCATAATAGATAATAGGCACCTTTCAGTATTTTCGTGAGATGTGAACAGGACATATTCTGAGTACCTTGCCCAGTTACTGCACAAGTACATGGGCTCAGTGAATCCTGGCTGGCACTATTGTGATATAGCGTCGGTCTGTCTGGACTCAGTTAAAACGTAAACATTTCTGTTGGCTAGTGAAATTATCACGGATGTAAATATTTTCTTACTCTTTCTTTCTTTTTGGTGACATTAAGAGGTAAAAAAAAGTGTTAGTTGCTTAGTTGTGTCTGACTCTTTGAGACCCCATGGACTGTAGCCCACCAGCTACCTCTGTCCATGGGATTCTCCAGGAAAGAATACTGGAGTGGGTTGTAATACCCTTCTCCAGGGGATCTTCCCGACCTAGGGATCAAACCTGGGTCTCCTGCATTGCAGGCGATTCTTTACCAACTGAGCCACTGGGGAGGCCCCCAAAAGTAAAAGTCACGCCTTTAAGGTAGTTATTAGAACTCATCTTTTTTTCCTTTATGGGCTTCCCTGATAGTTCAGTTGGTAAAGAATCTGCCTACAATGCAGGAGACCCCGGTTCGATTCCTGGGTCGGGAAGAATCCCCTGGAGAAGGGATAGGCTACCCACTCCAGTATTCTTGGGCTTTCCTTGTGGCTCAGCTGGTAAAGAATCCGCCTGCAATGTGGGATACCTGGGTTCGACCCCTATGTTCCATCTAAGCCTTTCTCCTCATTTTCCAGTTGTTCCTGGAAATCACTGTCTGTCTTCCTCATGTCATTTACAAAATGGTGTGTAGGGAGATCACAGTAAGTTCTTTTCTTTCTCCCATCTCAGCAAAAAAAAACCTTTGTGACCATTGCACAGGCAGTACTGCTGTCAGCATAATCTCCCCCTGCTCTTTTCTTTTGCCTCTTGAAGGCCCCTTTGGCTCCTTTTTACAAGGATTTTCCCCTGGTTTCTTCAGCTAGGAAAGTGGCTTTGTTAATTAGTTACTCATATTAAAAGTAACCCACACATTTAAATGCTGTATACAATTAATAATAAAATATATACTTTCCACAAATCATGTGTATTTAAACAATGACTTCTAATTGAATGAGTCAAGTCCTCCTGAAATTTTCAGTAGAACCGCATACTAATATGACAGCTTCAGTGCTTCAGACACTTCATTTATGCACCTACATTATTAAATATCTTAAAATCACCCATTACAAAAATAATAAAACTGAATTCTATGTGTTTTTTCATTATTTTTAAACTTATTTTATTACTTCCCAGGGTTTCAGTAATCTTGTCACACCATGTCTCTGTTCAGACCAGATTATAGGCTGTGGTTATTAAACAGTCCCAGATTCTTGGTGGGACCTGCAGACTGGCTTCTTTTAAGGTGATTAAAACCTGACCATTGTAAGAACTGCCCCCTGGCAGTTCCTTGTTTTAATTTCATTTGAAAAATGTAAAGTAGGTTCTCACCACAAGCATAAATCTGAGGCATGCAGAGATAAAGAGACAGTCCTTGCCCCTGCAGAAGTTACTAGTAGGAAAAACTCAAGAGTTGGAACTAGATAATCTAGTCCAACCCTGGTTATGTTAGTAATAGAATTAATGACTATTATTCAAATGGGATTTCTTGTCTGAGTCACAGAACATGGAAAATGATTTGACTTTCTCAGTTTTCCTAAGGTTATTGAATTGCTAGTATCATTCTAGAACATAAAAAAGAAATCAATGCATTATATGCAATGTTGGACTTTAATATGTGGAGCCCTAATTCTCTCATGCTGCTGCTGCTGCGTCGCTTCAGTCCTGTCCGACTCTGTGCGACCCCATAGATGGCAGCCCACCAAGCTCCGCCGTCCCTGGGATTCTCCAGGCAAGAACACTGGAGTGGGTTGCCACCTCCCTCTCCAGTGCATGAAAGTGAAAAGTGAAAGTGAAGTCGTGTCCGACTCTTCGTGACCCCATGGACTGCAGCCCACCAGGCTCCTCCATCCATGGGATTTTCCAGGCAAGAGTACTGGAGTGGGTTGCCATAATTCTCTCATGGAACCCCAGATTGCGAAGGAGTTAAGATTGTCTCCTCATCAACTCCAGTCAGTGTGATAAGATGGGACCTTAAATTCAAAAACTTTGGAGTTTCTCAAAGTTTTGTAAGGAATTTAATAGCAGGAAGTTTAATCCCTGGGACTGTTTAGTTTCCCTTTAAAATACCTTTACTGAATTAAGGTTAATGTTATACCTGTAGTGTATATTGAGAATTGATATAAGAAAAGGATTTTAAGGAATCTTCTGTTTTAAAATAGTGGTTGCCATTCAGTGAGCACTTACTATGTTCCAGGTATGATTCATTATAAATACTGAATAATCCTGTGTCATCACTGATGCTGGAAACAAGTTAGCCATTTTATTGATGATGAAACAGAATAAAAAGTCTAATAGCTTGTTGAGTGTCCCACAGTTTGTGGATTAGAATCTAGCTTGACTTCTGTTTGGTGCCTGTTTCCCTAATTTTGTACTGCCTCTGTAACTTTGACTGTGCTTTGACTTCTGTTACAGTGCTCCAAGCAGTAAATTCTCCTTGAAGTTCAGTGCTGAGGGAAAGGTTGTTTCCTAAAAGCCTGACATTTCCTTTTATTAGATAATAAGTAATTTATAAGTCAGATTGCTGCTTTTCTTCTTGTGTTTGAATTGCTGTGAGCCTCACATTTACTGTAAATATGTTTAGCCCAAGATTCTCTCCAGGGCTTTTAATGTTTTTATTATTTGTTTAAAATTGCATATATATTTTGTTAAAAGCTGACAATTCCTTTTAAAAGTAGACAGGAAGTAAACAATAAAATACTGGTGTCATATTAACAAAATAAAATCATAATTATTTCAAAAATTTGAATCAGATAAATTCTTACTGTTGGTTAATTTATTTTCCAAAATTTGATTTCTTGCAGCCTGTGGTTGACTACTAAATATGAGTTATTAAAAAAAACCCAAACACAACTTGACTGAGCCCTCTGATTTTTTTAGTATTTTGAAACACGTTTGAAAACTTACTAATGAGCGCTGAAGCTTATTAGTTTATTCTTTTTATATAGTGAGTTTTTCCCTTTGACTTCAGAATGAAGGTGACTGTATTCTTTGCTTGGGAACAGATAAAGAACAGCCGTAGGCCGGTACTGCTGGTGAAGAGTCACATTGTTCTTTTCTGGTTGCCTCTTGTTGGGGAGATTATATATCAAATATATTTTAAGGTATCTAAGAATTAGAAAGGTAAAAATAGACGGTTTTAGTTCTTTATTCCTTTTGTTCTTATAATCTCTAAAACCTATATGAAAGCCTTTTGTTTCTTATTAATCATTTGATTAAAAAGTAATGCAGCTGTCCTACTTTATAAGCTATATTTTCACAGTTTTCCTATTCTTCTTTCATTGTACATATTTTGAAGGTGTAGGAATACATGGGCTTTGTGTCTATAATGGTACTTTGAAATCTCTATTCTTTGAAATTTCTCAGACTCAAAGCTGAGAACTTAGATCATGGTTCATGTATTATAAATACTTCCTGGGAAAATACTTTAAAAGCTTTAAGAAACATTTAGATACCCTTTAGTGGATGTGCTTTCCCACACAGTAACATTATTTTACAGTTTGTAAGCATTTTTGTTCTTACCAAACCTGTAAGATTTTTTATTTTTAATCTTTTGTGGAAATTACCAATGAAGAGTTGGAAATAATTACTTACAAATTTGGAAATAGATACATCTGAGGACAGACGTGCATACATCTGAGGACAAACAGGCTTTTAACAAACTCATTTTTGGTTAAATTCAGGTTGGAGACTGGTAGAAACAGAGTAGATAAACAGGAAAATGAGACAGATTTACAAAGAAAACTTGTAAAAAATAATAAATCATCATGTCTGCTGTCAAATCAAGGCAAAGATACCTGTGTTCAGTGTCATAAAACCCTGCCTTCCATCTGTCTGTCCACATTCTCATTTCACAGAGAATTTATACACTGTCTACCATGGCCACTAGTAGGAACTGTTGAAATGCCACTTCAGGGTTCATTTAGCTGTTCTCAGCTCACTGTTGGGAAATGAATGCTGGAGCATCTAGTTTGAAAATAAAAAAGACTCTAATGAGTTGGGGGTCTTTATGTGCCTAGTATTCTTGGCAGTGATTAACAGTAGGGGGTGTGCAGAAGGTCAAAAGCTCTTCTTTTTAGAGGTCAGCAGAACATCCCCATCTGATAAGATTAAACTAATGTGGCTTTTGGTGTTAATATCTAAAGCAGCGGGTTGCTGTAGTGTGTTTGGGATGGTAGTTGTGGCTTTGAGAGATTATGAGAAAAGAACTGACATGTGAAGTCTTTAATGAGAAAAATGTTGGATTTGGTTACATAGCACTTATCTTTCTTCCTTACAGGCAGTTTGAAACTGATTTTTATTTCTTAAATATTTTGCATAAGTTTGTTTGCTGATAAAAAACTTCTCAAAGTTTTTTTTTCTCAAATAATTTTGTGTAATTTTTTTCTTTTCTCTCTCTTTTTGTGCTGTTTTATGTGTTGACGATTATTTGTATTAAATCATTCTGAAACTGAGGTTAATCTCTGATTTTCAAATTTAGATCCATAAATAGAGTAAATATATTTATGTTCATTCCATAGTTTTCTGATTATTTTACTGGATATTTCAATGGACAGTACTGGCTTTGGTGGATATTTCTTGTACTTGGTAAGTTTATTCTTAATGCATTTCACTATGACTAATTTGCATTTAGTTTAACTTTGGTATTTCCTAAAATTGTAAGATGTAAGTATACTGTGTTATTTATGTGAAAGAAAAATTTTCTGTTGAAAAATTCTCATATCCAAACACATGTCATCTTGGCTATCCAGATAGTTTTATACAACACTCTGGTTTCTGATTTAAAATTCAGAGCCTGTCAATTTAAAGAATCAGTGGTTGAATGATAACTGAACACTGCAAAACTTGAAAATAATAAGATGATTAAAAAATAATTGCCTTCGGCATTTATTTTGAAAAATAGACATGCGTGATTTTCTTTTAATGATCGTAGGAAATGTTGAGAGGAGGCTAGTTGGATATTGTACCTATTCTTTTATTTTTGGATCATTGAAACATTCTTCACACTTCTGAAGTGCACCCTGCATTAGTCACTAATCAGTCAGGCGTACGGGAAGGGTCATGCTTGATGATCACAGTGCTTCTGTTGCGTTTTCTTCTTACCAGGCGTGTCGTTCATTAATATTGATGCATTTTAATGGATTTCCAATCTGTGTTTCCTTGTGTTTTCCTCTTTAGATGTATGATAATTAAGTTAATCTTAAAATCACACTATACTTGTATTCCACATTTCAGATTTATTCACCAACATGAAGAATACTGTTGTTTCTCCTTAGGTTTAGGAGTCCACGTTTCTGTAGCAAATCACTTGCACTGGAGAACCGCGCTTCAGTAGGTGGCAGTGTTCTCCCGGCCTTTCTGTTTAGTCCTGCCGTTGTGTCTGTAGGATTTTTCAGGAAACAAAATCTTAGTGGTCAGCAAAGGTCACTAAAGAGCCTCGATTCTTCCTCTGATAATTATAGTGAAATTATTCCAATTATTGGTATATCTCTTGTGATTTTGTTGGGGAGTCTGATTGGACAAAAGTTTAACCAGTTTTTTTTGTCTTGTTAATTGTTTTCTGACTGATTCTGTGCTTGACTGAGTTTCTTACTCAAAAGTGAAAAAATTTATAATGTCTTTTAGGTGTTTAAGCACATTGAGTGAGATAGTTGCTTAAAAATATTATTAGGGGATTGAAGAGTCTTATGAAGGCAGCCGTGGAACACAGTAGAATGCAGGCACAGCCCCAGTTCCTGATCAGAGCCATGATCTAGCATTTAGGGGAACGTGAAAGCTTAATCCGTGACGGGAATGTTGCTGTCACATACCCAGAAGAATGTTGCGCACACCCCAGAGCGCTGAGAAACCATAGCTGCTGCTTGGTTGGCTTCCAGGTGGGAATTGGCTAATTTTGGAAAATGCCTGAGCAGAGCAAAGTAGGTCTTAGCAACAGCAGCTTCATGGACTGCAGAAGGGATTTCACAAATAATTTTGGTTTACATTTTTCAATAATACTTTTATGTTTGGATCACAATGTCATTATCTTTGAACAGCATCTGGAAGGGCATAAGGGCGGAATTCAGAGTGAGAGTCACACAGGGAAAAGAGGATATGGGAAGCAGATGGGATCAGATTTAGGTGAAATTTATACCACTTGTTTTAAGTCATTATTTGTGTCGCTCTTCTGTCTTCTGTCTCTAATTTATTGTAACCATGCTTCTTATTTTAGGGCTTCGATTATTGTCTTAGAATTGGGTTACAAATTTCATTTGAGACATTTGAGTTTAAACTGACAGGCTTGTCCTCCTGGTGAGGAAAGTTCCCTAAATACGTATCATCTGCTTCTTGCCCCAACTCCACCTCACCCCCTTATTACCTGGTTAAAAATTTACTAGAGTTAATAAATATTTCCCTTAGAATTGTATGCTTAAGTACATCAAAGACTTCACTAATAATGGTGATGCTTTTGACACTTAGCTGATATTTTTCATCTGAAACTTTGAGACATTTCACAGGCTTTGTTTTATCAATTACTAAAGATATTTCTGATGTAAATGGTTATTATTTAAAAATACTGTTTTACAGAGGAGAACACTGAAATAGAACCTATATCTTAAGTCATTCAAGAACTCACTAGAGTGCCTACTTCCAAAGTCTGTCTTGATTTTTCTCAAATTTTTTTATTATAAATTAATCTACTGTTATTACTTGGAAATAACTAATAATTGGATTATTTATGTAATGCACGTATCACTAAATATAGATTTTGCAGATAACAGGCACCTGATCTGGCCAGACAGGCTTATTACTGGTTTTATCCTACAGTTGTTAAAAATTACATATATTGCATATGTTCTCTGTTGAATACTTTATATCAGTAAATATGTCTTAGTTTGCTTAATCATTATAGTGATTTAAAACTTTCATGTAAAACGGGGTTTCTATGAGTTGAATCAGTTTAAACACATTAGGTAGCTTTCCTTGTTAAAAAAATACTTTTATGAGTGTGTATTTTTGTGTAAGTTAGGACTTTGATGGCTAGATTTGCTTTACTTTAGATACATCTAGGCTTAACAAATTGAAAGAATTTGGAGGTACAGTAAAATTTTATTTCCTTACAATAGAGCTACCATTATAGTGTAAAATGTGGATTGAATGGAATCCTACACATTAAATTCCTTTGACCAAGAGGACCTTGTTTGTAATTGTCTATTTTAAATTTATCATGTCCCCTTTCTTTGTAAGAGCATAATATATCCATATATTTCAACCTCCTCAGGCCTGCTTCTTTTCTTCAGAGGATTTGTTAATTATCTGAAAGTCAGAAACATGTCTGAAAGTATGGCAGCTGCTCATAGAACAAGGTATTTCTTCTTATTATAGAGGTAAGAAATATTAATATATTAACTGTTTATTCCCCTTGTATTCAAATTCACCCCGTGCATTTGTTGTTTAGTTGCTAAGTTGTGTCTGACTCTTTTGAGACCCTATGGACTATAGATCTCCAGGCTCCTCTGTCCGTGGGATTTTCCAGATAAAAACACTGGAGTGAGTTGTCATTTCCTCCTCCAGGGAATCTTCCCAACCCAGGGATCAAACCCTTGTCTCCTGCATTGGCAGGTGGATTACTTTACTACTGAGCCACCAAGGAAGCCCTTCACCCCATGCATATTAAATGCTTAATGCGTACTCATGTTGTTTACTCAAGTTTAGCATTTTTAATAGATTTTGAATACTGTTAACAGTATTGAAATTTTAAAAATTGCAAACTTTTAAGATAATTTCCATTTAAAAAATTGAATTTCATTACATTTTAGTTTTTAAAAAAACACATTATGAGTAAACTAGAACTTTAAATCAGACCTTTAAATTTCTGTTTAAAGCTTGGCTACAGGTTGTACATGAAGTAACCACCAGCTCAGCATCTAAAGGCTTGAAAAACAGAATATGACAAAGCACTTACACAGAAAGAATGGACATTTTGCATCAGTGTGAATTTCACACAGATATCTGCAGGCTAAAACAGACAAACAAAAAACTAAATCTGTGACTGAAAAGCAATTTGCCATACACTGATTTTTTTTTTTTTTAACTTTATGATTTGTTGAGGTTTAGCTGATTAACAAGGTTGTGATAACTTCAGGTGGACAGCTAACATATACGTGTCCATTATCCCGCAAACTCCCCTCCCATCCAGCCTGCTACCTAACAGTGAGCAGAGTTCCCTGTGTTATACAGTAGGTCCTTGTTGATCATCCATTTTAAATACAGCAGTGTATACCTGTCCATCCCAAACTCCTTAACTGTCCCTTCCCCCTGGCAACCATAGAAGAGATGTCATATGCTACTTCTCCTTCCCTGACTTACTCCACTCAGTATGACAATCTCTGCGTCCATCCATGTTGCTGCAAATGGCATTATTTCATGCTTTTTAATGGCTGAGTAATAGTCCACTGTGTATACGTACCCCATCTTCTTCATCCATTCCTCTTTCAGTGGACATGTAGCTTGCTTCCATGTTTTGGCTGTTGTAAGCAGTGCCATGCACTGATTTAAAAAACTGGATCAAGGAGTAAAGATTGTGCGAAGAAAATAGCTCTGTTACTGTTTTCTTAACATATACCAGTTTATGTCAACAACGAAGGCTACAACTTGAATAAATGGAAAAATAAAGAAATGAGCAGAGATTGTCTTACTAGTTACCAAGTAAGTTTCTGGAGGCTGCGTGTATAGTACAGGCATGCATTTACTGTGCAGCTAGTAGATCTTCAATGAAGAGACCTCATACCTCACTGTGGTGCTTTAAAAGCAACTACTATACACGTCATTGTTTTGAACTTTTCAAGTATTTGAACTGCGTAAGCCAAAGGTCTACTAAAACACTTAACTTCCTGATGTGTCTTCAAGTACAAGATGTTTCAAGGTTGCTATGATTAAGTATACATAAATTATATGGTTTGTGATTTGGTTGCTTAAATTTTATGCTTATATGACTGTTATATAAGCTAACATAATTTACTTAATTCTGCTGAAGATGATTGCAGTTGCATTTCTGGATTGTATTTAAGTATTAAATTTTCCATTAAGGTTTCTTCCTTCCCCTTGAAGATATCACATTTTCTCTTTAACTTGTCTACAGTGACCTTAAGAGTTTGTAATTTTACTAATTTAAATGATATTCTGTGAATATTCAGTGTGATTATCTTGTTTTCCTTTTCAGGAGTTTAAAATATAATGTAAATATTTTGTAGATGCTCTCCTTTAGAAGGTTACTTTAGAATATATTTTGATCTGTGCTACTTCATGTCATTCTTACCAAAAGGCTGTTATATTCTTGATGTCATACTATAAAATGGGTTTTCATTGTACTATCATTTGGATAATTGCAACTTAATACATTTTAAGACTAATTCTCTCTCTGTCCCTAGACTGCATCGACCAGACATTCCTTTCTTACATCAATGTGAAATTTCCAGGTCATCTGTAAACCTGCAACTTTAATAGGATAGAAGACTACTAAACACAGAAGACAAATTAGTGAAGAAAAAATAGAGCTTCAGAATTGAATGGCAGAGTGGTTTATGCTTAAAAGCCATTTCTGTTCATTCTTTTAAATATTTATGTTTCATTGGTTTTGCACAGTTGCATATGTGCCCATTCAAAAGATTTGCATATACTTGAAAGAAACCATACAGTTGTAGCAGTCAAGTCCAGTCACATTTGATTAATCAGTGTTTGATATAATTGAAAGAGTTGAGTGATAAACAGTCTTCCAGCATGTAAATGCCATTGACTTCTGACCTGACATTTAGTATAATAAACATGAAGTTATTAACCATGTCAGATGCTTTAGTTTCTGGCTTTCAGATTTATCTAATAACTCTTCACAGGAAACATTCTTTGTTATATATAAAGTTTTTTTGAAACCTGCAGTGCTGATTATTAGAAGGGATTTGTCAGACTTTTGAACATGATAGTTATATCATAATTTAGCGAAACTTTCTGTAAATAACCATGCAAACCATGCATAAATTACTTTCTGCATTGTTTTCTTAGAAATTGTATCTAGGTATCTTTTCCTTAATTTTAATTTAAGTGGACTTAATATATTTAGAAAATTTCGATGTTAAAGATAGTTTTAGGACAAATTTTAGAAAACGTGGGTATGCCACATTTCCTTTATAAGAAAATCTTTTCTTTTTTTTTAAAGGGACATGCTAACTTTGGGGATTCTCAAATGAGAAGCTTGGTTTTTAGCATTGTCCATCTTATAGATTCTTAGAGGAAGAGATTGTATTAGATATTATATTTATTTCATTTAAGACATTTTGAAAATTAATTTTCTGAATAAGATATTCTCATTTGCATTTTGCCTTTTAAAATACCAATAAAAATATCTTTCAGTATCATTGTAATATTTTTTTCCTTTAGATGTTTAGCTTAGCAAATAAAAACTTGTGCTTTTAATATCTTCTTGCTTTCTGATTGTAAGGTTAACTTGTAAAAATCATTTCCTGAATCGAGATACATGAAATATTTGTTTTCAAGTTATGGAAATGTGTCTGTGGAATATAGGAGTGTGAGTGTGTTGCGAGAGTGTATATGAATATGTATTACTACAACTGGAATCTATTTTGCATTCATAAGCTACTGCATTTTGCAAATCATTTTATGGTTCATCTGTCTTCTTTTCAGTTATATCTTTGCTTTTGAATGCCAACATTAAAAATTACCTTTTAAACTTAAAAATCAGTTAATACAACTATATAGAACATTTAAAATAGATTGCTTGTTTATTATTAGACACCAGCTACTAAAAGATACATTTAAAACTGTTCAGGGTCATTTTCCACTTCTGAAAAAATGAAATTTATTATGCTTTATAACTTTTTTGTATTTCTCTGTGTTTTCTCATTTACTTCATTGTCTTTGGTAAATTAAACATGCCATTTTGTTTTTCTGAGCTTCCTATTTTTTGTTTCCATCATTTATTCTCCTCCCCTGCATAACCTTTTTATTATTGATTAAAGTATCTTGAACCCTTGATTATTGATAAAGATACCCTTTAACAATAGCCTGGGATAAAGAAAACAAAATATTTGATTTAGTTGCCTGAATTGGAAATTAATTAAAATTAGAATTTATTTATAAGAAATGTGAGCTCATGTTAGAAGTTTTTATTGTGTATTTCCTATAAACCTATACTTTGTAATAGTTTTTAAAATAACATTATGATGCAGAGTAAGTTATATCAATTTATTAAATTGTTGTTTTTGTGATCTTAATACTTGGTTTATGCATGTAGATATTGACTTAACATCAAAACTTCACTTTTTGTATTGATTTTTTCCTCCACAAGCCTGTAAGATTCAAGTGTGTTGTTACTTAATCCTCTTTAATTGGTAGAGTTCATTGGTAGTCTTAAATCTCATCATCCAGTCAGGAGACTCAGAATATTCTTTTAGAAAACAGCATTCGCTCCTGGATTTATCAGATCCTACACACTTCCCTTCATTTCCTGTGAGCTTGGACAGCATAGCTGCTGCTGCGTTTTGGAGACACTTAACCGCCTTTGCACTCTGCCTTAAATAAATTGAAAATCAGAATCCTTGTTAGGGTACCTGCGAACAATTTTTGAATGAATGTGAACTGGAGCTTGGAAGCTAATACAAAAAAAATGTATTACCTTATTTCTGTTATATTTGAAAAAGCTCATTATGACCAGAAAAATCCATTTATGTTTTCATGAGAAAAAAAAAAAAAGCCTGAATTTAAGTAAAAATACATTTTCTATACAGTGTGTCCAGGATACATTTTAGGAATTTAAAATACAAATTCTATTATACTTGGTTAAAATGAAAATCTCTTTTTAATAGAAAAGAAATACTAATTTCTTTTTGAGTCTATATTTTATTTTGAGTCTGTAAGCTATATCCCATGCCTTTGAAGATCATAAATGTTAACCTGTTAAGACAATAATCACTTATATTTCAAGCAAAACCACTAATGACAGGAAAAGTGGAGTTCCAAAGGTCTAGTTGGAGAAGAATTCAGGGTTTCTTAATTTACCACAATATTTTTCCAACTGGTCTATCCACATAAAGCACAAAGGTAATGATAGTGCATCTGGTAACTGTATTTAACTAGAGTGACATATATCCTGAGTTTGCTCATAACAGACCTGGTTATTACTATTTCCTGAGCTTAAATTGTGCCTCCTCTCTCATAAGTGTCCTAATTTGGAGGAGAATTTGTATGATCACCCTGTATATAACTCTCCACTGTATTGAGAAGTGACTGCCTAAACCTACTGCCTTGAGAGACGGAACTGCAGTATTAGGGCAGGAGTCAATTACTGTTGTCACAGCCTTGCCTAGACACCT